AAGTAGTTGCTCTACAATATCTGAAATTTGTACATTTGTTTGTTCTAGGGATGCGGTAATCTCTTCATCAATCATTGGTTCATCAAGCTGGGGTTGTTCATCAACATCCTTTGTTGTTTTTCTTCATTTATATTCAAAAGTAGTGAAAGGGGAGCTCACAACCTTTTTCCCACGACTGCATCGGCCCTTAACCCTATGCAATAAGCTGGAAATCGACTATGTGACTTGGGTGGTTCCAATAGTTGGGACTTCTTCCTGTAAACCCCTTTCCTCAGCAGTTCCTTCTTTGACAAGAGATGTTTGATAGGGGGGAGGGGGGAGAAAGGCTGGGCAGATTCCTCATCAACATGCGGGGTTCCAACAGGAGGGGATGGGGGCTGGGCAGATTCCTCATCAGCATGTGAGATTCCAACAGGAGGGGAGGGGGGCTGGGAAGATTCCTCATCAGCATGCGGGATTACAACAGGAGGGGAGGGAGGCTGAGCATATTCCTCATCAGCATGTGGGATTACAACAGGAGGGAAGGGGGGCTGGCATATTCTTCCTCTAATAATATGCCTGTATCAGCTTCATCTTTATCAATTTTATTCTACAGTATAAACATTTGGTCTTGCAGACCTGATACTCCAACAGTTTTTGTATTAAGAGTCCCTTGGAACTCCTTGAACCATTTATCTTTTTCTTTAATCAGATCAATTATTGCTTCAAGTTTCTTGTTCATTGTAAATTGGTTCCGGGGCAGTCTCCCCTGAGACCACTGGCCCTATATCAAATGGTACAAGAGGTTCTGCTCTAACTTCAGGCTGACAGTTTTGGCTGGCGCTGGACTGGGTAGCCCCTCATCTAGATTGGCCAGCAAATTGAGTTCCTCCTCTTTCAGATCCCAAAATTTATCATTGACCTGCAAATTGTTTCAGGATAAAAATACCTTAATCATTATTACAGAAATAAATTATTTAACAACAGTGTAAATGACTGACCTGTTCAGTGGTTAGCCTCTTAAAGGTTACATCTATCTGTGAGGAGTTCAAGCTAACAGTTGTTGGTCATCTCAACATTCTGAGCCTGGCCTCAACATCGGCAGGAGTTACCACAGATTTATGCTTAAAAAACCAGAAAACCAGAGCTGCATAAAAGATACTAAATATTCAACATAAAAGATAATTAATAAACAGTAACGATATTCAGCTTATACAATATACTGACCATAATCAAATAAAGAAAATCATTTATGTATCCAATAGGATGGTTCCGCAATAATTTGATGGCCATTGAATTAATTTGCTCTATAAGGAAATCACAGAGCGAAGCGGCGAATTAAATGAGGGAAAATTCTGAATGTTCTCTCCAAAGTTGTTAAGTCCTTCGGGTACACTAAAATTACTGGAGGGAAAAAATAGATTTGATAACAAAAATTTTATAAACAATTTAGCAAAAGGAAAGGGGTAGAAGACCCCCAGACCCCCCTCTTGCGAAGTCCAATAGATTATTCTTCATCTGTTGGGCGTCCACGCCACAAGGTGGACATTTACTCCACTTTGGCACTGCACCTCTATTTGCCATGCCAATTAGTAGGGCAACTTCATTGGGCAACAGTCTTATCTTTCCCTCTAGGTTTGAAAACTATTTTATCGTGTTGCCAACATTGCAAAATTTGTATTGTCAAGACATTCTCTTGAGGATAAGGAGGGAGCTCTAAGAACTGCTTAACATTCATTGCTATAATCTCATTTCTCATGTCCTCAGATATTGAATGCCTAACCTTATCCAACACATCTCTCACTACAGATGACTGACATCTACAGCTCATTGATCTTGGGTTCATAAACCTACAAAAATAATACAATGAAACAAATATCAGGTATTATTTCAATGACATTTCAATGTCATTATTAAGGTGTTATTCAGGTGTGGTTGTATTATTATGGTATTATAATAGTATTATTATGGTTATATTTTGGTGGTATTATTCACGTAGTACTACGATATTATTACGGTATTATTACAATTAGATTACAATATTATTAATGTTATATTTCGATGGTATAATTTTTGTACTATTATGGTATTATTACGATTATATTTCGGTTATATTACGATATTAACTGTTTATCTAGTATTATGGAATTATTACGGTTTTATTTTGCCTTTATTATTCTGTATTAATCAAGTTTTGTATAGGAGAAATGCATTTTAATTAAAGGACTGCATGTTATTTAAAAGAACTGTTGATTTAAAAGAACTGTTGATAATCAATCTTTTCAAAGAAAAAATGACCAAGAAAATAAAATATTACTTGGAGGAATCCTCTTCAATAACCTTCTTTTCACGGACATTGGCTTTTTCTTCTTTTGTTCATCGGACTCCATTCTCGACTGCTCATCTTTGGTTTCCATTCTCAACGGCTCTTCATCTTCCACTATCATCGGGTTTTCTTGGGCTTCCATCTCAGAAGGCTCGACTTCTATCTTGATAAGCTACTCTAGCGGTGAACTGACGAATGTACTTCGAACGACAAACGGAGACTCGAAACCCTAAACAGATGGCGAATGACAAAAGAGGTGGTGCGCCTGTCGGTTTTCCTCCGGAGTTATTTTTTGATAGGCGTTTCGTATTCTGTTTTCATTCAATTTATTCGGAGCGCTTGTGCGAGAGTAAAGCCGGGTCTCACGTGATAAAAGCATTTTTTAATTTCAAGGAACACTCAGATGTTATCACAATACAAACATACTAATACTCGACTTAATAAAAACATAATAACGCAATAATAAAACCACGATAACACCGCAGTGCACTACAAAAATACCGCGGAGCTAATAACATCAATGTCATCACAATAAGACCTGAATAATATCATAATACAATCATAATAATACATCACTGTGATATTAATAAACAGAAATGTTAATAACACTCCAATCACTCCGCAATAAAACAATAATACTACATAACGAAACATAGAGCAATAATACTCAAATAATTCACTAATAATATCAAGATATTACAGACGGTCGAATAAACATAACGAAACATACAATAATAACCACCGTTTAATACATCTATGACAGTCGAATAAACATCAGTAGTATGCAGCAAAGAGGAGGTCGGTCTGTTGGTTTATAGATTCAGCTCCAACTCCATTGGTTAAATTTGTGGGCAATGAGATTAGAGTTATTTAACGACTAATTGAGGGCTTGGTTAGAATCAGTGAAGAAGCTGGAAGAGAAGCTGAAAATTGCAACATATGTAATATTCATTTTAGTGGAAGGGAAAGTTTCTTGATTGCTCGCAGGCAATGAGATTGAGTTATTTAGTGATTCAGATAATCTTGAAAGATAAACAGTCGAAAAATCATTCACATCAATGATCAAAGGTTGATTAAGAGGAAGTTTCAGGCTGTTCGAACATCTAATGTTGACGGAGTTATATAATCTGATGCCAACGTCGATGATGTGATTTGTATTAGGTAATTCAGGGTAATGGGTTTGCTAAATTGTGGAAATAAACTAAAATGTTATTGCAAGTTATGATGTTTTGGACTTCTTAAGTCTCATATGAATGGTGTTCGGTCAGGTGAACTGGTGTTCCAACTGGTTCACCTGACGAAACACCATTCACATGAGACTTTAGAAATCCATAACATCATAACTTACAATTACATTTTATTCTGTTTCCACAATTTAGCAAACCCATTACGACTTACCCGATACAAATCACATCGTCGCCATTGACACCAGATTTTATAACTACTCAACTTTAGATGTGCGAACAGCCTGAAACTTCCTCTTAATCAACCTTTGATCATTGATACGAATGATTTTTCGACTGCTTATCTTTCAAGATTAGCTGAATCACTAAATAACACTATCTCATTTCTTCTGAGCAATCAAGAAACTCTCCCTTACACTAAAATGAATATTACAGATATTGCAATTTTCAGCTTCTTCATGATTCTAACCAAGCCCTCAATGAGTCATTAAATAACTCTACCTCATTGCCCACAAATTTGAATCAATGGTTCAAAAAAACGTAGTTCGCTTGTTCACCCTTGTTACTCATTTCCTGCATGCAATGATTTAAGTTATCAAAATGCAATGCTCTAAAGAGAAATAAATTTTCAAAATACGAACACTATAGTAAAACAAGTATGTCTATAAAAACAACAATGACAATAACACCATAATCACACAACAATAAAACCACAAAAAAGCAGCAATAAAATTGTCTTTAACAGTACAATGACACAACAATAAAACCATAATAATACCACAATAGCCCCACAATAACACCAACACCACTCATTAACAAAAATAACACGAGAATACTACCAAGATAATACCGCGGTAACACTTAAAACCATTACCTCGGACTAAATGCCAGCATAACATAAACAGTTGCAACGACAACAACTTCGAATAAACTGAAAACCACTAAAGTAACACTCCGATAAACCTAGTGAAACAACTGTTAAACACAAGTAATGAGACAAATGCCAGAAGTATCCCTCCGATAAACATCTAAAGTAATTATTAAATCAACTAATTAAACATCCGATAAACCCAAATAAATGCTAAAAGTATCCATTAAATCAAAAAATAAAACTCGCACAAACCCTAGAGCCTAAACCGCAACAATGTCTTTAAGATAAAAAAAAAATATTTTGAGCGACGCTAAACTCACTTAGATCTGAAATTTGTTGTCGTTGTCTTCGTCGAGAGAGCAATCCATTTTGGCAGCTCCAAACCTTATAGTGCGAAAATAAAGAGGGGGAAAACCCTGGAAATGTATTTTCTGTTTTACATTTTCCAAAAAAAGAAGGGTTTTGAGTCGGGCCACAAGAGTTAAAAAATAAGAAATTTACATATTTTACGATAATAGTGGGGCCGGATTCCAAGTGACATTTTCTAATTGGCCGGTGCATGTGGGCGCACACATCTAATTGATCTAATTATTAGGTGGGGAGGGCACATGTAGAGCTGAGAGTGGCTGTTATTGGAGGGCTGTTATTCGAGGGCGCGCGGCTTTGCATCATGCAATAATGGCTCCATCTAATTGGCTATAGGTGTGACATTTCGCTAATCCTCCGATATCCCGTACGGTTACCTTGCCTTCCTCGCTCAAGAGGCGTGTGCAATGCATATCTTCCTTGTTGCAAACCCCAGCACAACTCTGAATTTACCGCCTTCTCTGTGCAATATCTCCGTTCCGTTTCGCTCAAGCTTCTGCACCACCATCATTGGAGCAACTGCCAGCTCTCGTCTTCCGACAGTGAAACCCATATCGCCGCGCCTGAAGGCGGTAAGGTCTGAGATGGCTTTTCTTGATGAAAAACGCTCATATACCATGATGGAGTATTTGGGGAAGGCAGGGGCCGACGTCGGTGACGATTTGGCCATCTTGATCGTCCATCTTGAGTACGCCTGCAAACGAATTGCAGCGTTGGTTGCTTCTCCCTTCAGCAGCGAAGTCGGCAGAAGGCCGGTCCATGGAGAAGTTGGGTTGTCATCTTCTGGCAGGGACACTCCCAAACCCCTCGATCTAGTCTCGGTAGTTGCTGTTTTATTTTTCTTAATTTGACATTTCGATTGACTCTTGATACTATTTCATTTGTTTATTTTTTTAGTATAAAACTTTCACAAGTTGAATTGTGCACTGACTTTTTTAATTTTCTTTTTTTTTAATTTTCTTTTCTAATTTTTATTTTCTAATGAGGGTATTTTCTATGAGGAGACTTGATGTGTGCTAGAAAATTCACGGCTATGGAGTTATATATTATCGTTTTAACGTGGTACGATGATTCAACTCACATTCAGAAGAGAGATGACAAGTAGTAGTGACACCAGAAGTTTTTAGATGGAAAATCCGAAATAAAAAAAAAATCACGGTGTCTGACCCAGTTGTAAAAGTTCACTATGAATTGATGATCACAACGACTCTGTTTCTTAGACGGGAAATGATTACAAAGTCCTCCGAATTACAACGTCGATGAGCGAATAAACTTATTATAATGAACAAGCGGCAACCGATGCTGATGGGCGACAGCTGATGAGTGGTGGTTGGCGGTAGTCGGTGGCGGTTGATGGTGGTTGACGGTGGTCGGCGGTGATGGACGATGGTCGACGGTGGTGGACGCTGGTCGACGGTGGTCGACGGCGGTAGGAAAGATGCCGAACTTAAGCTCATTCTTAAAACTTCAAGCTCTTGCTCAAGGTTCAAACTCTCTTCCCCATAATGAGAAGGGTAGGGATATATTTATAAAGTTTTAGGTGCAATTAATGCAGAAATATGAACCGTTTTGATGGAACTATTCAGAGAGCTTTCTTCGATTAGACCGTAATTGATGGACATTTGAGTGCCTTAACGATGTTAGAATTAAGCGAAGTTGGGCTCTTTGGATTTGTCTTCTCGAGATGCTCGACTCGACTATAAGTTCACGAGATTCAACTTCTGTTTTACCCCTTCTGCATTCGCGTGGTTTCGGATCCCGCTAGATCATCTTTCATGTTGCGACGTAGAGGGAAAGTCATCCCCATTCTGCCTAACAAGCAATTAACAATATCTTTTTCGTGTTGTGGTGCTGAAGATAGTGATCCACGTCTTGCGTAGCAGACGATCAATAAGATCTTCTTTAGTGTTGCGGTGTAGAAGAAAGTCGTCCCCGTCTTATGTAGCAAACGATCAATGAGATTTTTCTTTCTTGATGCGGTGTACAAAAAAGTTGTCCCCATTTTGCATAGCAGATGATCAACATGATCTTCTTTTGTGTAGCTGTCTAGAAGAATAAAGTCCTCATCCTGCGTAGCAGACGATCAACGAGATATTCTTTCGTGCTACTGATGAAGAAAGTTATATCCGTCCTTGGCCAGTAGGTGACTCAGGATATTCTTGCTTGTTGTTGGTGTGCATTCTAGTGGAGATGAAGAAATGGAGTGTCCCATCACACTTTTTGGGGCAGATTTCTGTGCTTCTTTCGCGGTGATGTATGAAGAATATCGTCTTAAGGATCAGCAAAAGTACCAAAATTTTGAAGAGACGATCTACCACCATTTAAAGAAGAGCCTACGTCTTGTAGCATTTGTACCAGTTGTTATTGGTTTATATGACCTTTTTAATCATCTGATGTGGCATTTATAGATGATGATAGTGCTTTTTTTGCATGTCTTCGACGTTGCTTTTGAGATTGTTGTAGCTTCTCAATCGTGCGGAATTCTGTAATTAAAGTTAGCATGCACACTTTATAAAAAGAATCACGTATCTTTTCAATCTCTTGCCTTCTGAGATTTGTATTATTTTGGGCGTGTATCTTGTGAGGTTTGTGCCTTCTTAGGCTTATGCTTTATAGGACCTTGAAGTGAATTGATATCTTCTGAGGTATACAACCTTTTGAAGTATTTAATTTATCTGTCTCATGAGGATTGTTTTTTTTGAGTCTTTGGTGTAACTGTGCCTTCTAAGGCTTGTAGCCTTCTAAGGTCTTTAATGTACATGTGGCTTCTGAGAATTGTGGCCTTCTAAAGTTTTTGAGTGGAGGTCATTGTTCTCTTGGAGCCTTTCTGGTTAGGACCCTGTCCACTACTAGCTTCCCATCCAGACTTACCTTTTGGGCTCGTATTTCAAAGACATGATAATTTCCCATCGAATCTTGCCTCTTGGGCTCGACTTTTAAGGGTATCATTTTTTTCATCGAGTCTTGCCTATTGGGCTCGACTTCCAAAGCATGGTAACTTCCCATTGAGTCTTGCTTCTTGGGCTCGACTTCCACGGGTATTGTATCTTTTCGTCGAGTATTCCTGCTTGGGCTTGACTTACAGAGGCATGATATATTCTCATCGAGTCTTGCCTCCTGAGCTCGACTTCTAAGTGTACTGTTTTTTTCTGATCGAGTTTTGTCTCTTGGGCTTAACTTCTGGGGGCATGATATATTCCCATCAATTTTGCCTCTTGGACTCGATTTTCACGGGTATCGTATCTTGCTATCGATTCTTAACAGGGGTAAGGATGGAAACCTCATATGCCGCTGACCCTCTAAGGGACTTTCCACAAAAAAAAAAAAAAAAAAAAAAATTCGTGAAAGAATAAGAAAATTTTACAAAATGATAATTTTTTAAAGTAACATGAATAACTCTCTATAATAAAATTAAGAGTTTATATGCCAGTCTTTTACTCAAATGTGATAATTTGGAATTTACTTCTCATTTAATATCCTGACGATTTTCTTCTGGTTCCCACTACCTCGATCTTGTAAGTAGCAATTCAAGTGACCTTGGTATATCAGACATTCAATTTCTTCTTTTAATTGAAAATATTTTTATGTTGAATGTCTTTTTGCTTTGTGGCAATGATAATATTGAGACTGATCTCTATCATCCAGATTTTTAACGGTCTTGGCTATTTGATGACCTTTTCATCATTGATGGTCATTAGGATGTTCACACGTCACGTGTTAAGTGGCATGTATTTTTTTCTGGTCGAGACTCACTTCGGCTGCGGTCCAAAATTTTTTCATTGTGAAATTTGTTCGATATTTCCGACGTTATTCTTGCGCTTGCCCCCCAATCCCTCAAATTGTTCCTTGTGTGGATCGATGGTCTCATTTGCACAAATTTGAGCTTCGATATGATGATAGGATCGACGTAAGAGTGAATCATCTCCTGCATCAATGGTGAGTCAAACGATCGAGCAGAAAAATGATCCCTTTAATCCAGAAGAACTCTTCCCGAACCATGTGTCGTAACTCATCACGGATGATATCAGCAGAAGTGATAGTAAGGCGGAGCGGTGCCAGGTGAGCTGCATGAGATAGATGACTGGAAATTGTAACGTCAAGGAGATCAGCATCCCGTCTGGGCAGGGAAATTATTTCATCATTGGGACAGAACCCAATTAGTGAGGTATTTTCTGTTGAATTCCGAACTGGTGGTAAGTAAGCTCCATTGGGTTGCGCTTATCACTCTCTGCATGGGAGTTGTAGAATCTCCGGTTGCTACGTACTTCGTCCTCTATAGAAGGACTCGAGGCACCTTCGTCAGTGGGATGATGCTTTCTAGAGTGAGGGGAGGTAAAGGCCTGACGCCTTTAGCTCCGTACTTTCCCCGAGGCACCTTCGTCAGTGGGATGGCGCTTTCTAGAGTGAGGGGATGTAAAGGCCTGACGCCTTTAGCTCCGTACTTTCTTCTAGAATGATGGGTGTTGGAGCAAGATACTTTGCTGTTGCGTGTGTTGCGCCTGGTGGCCATGCAGTAAGTCTCGCAAGTAATCTAGTGATGAGAATGTTTTATTACCACAGATGGCGTCAAACTGATGCATGCTAGAAAATTCGCGACAGTAGAGTGATGTATTATTGACTTAGCGTGGTACGAAAAGTCAACACACATCAGAAGAGAAAAGATAATTAGTAGTGACACAAAAAATTTTTAATGGAAAATTCAGAAAGAGGAAAAATCACTGGATCTGACTCGGTTGTAAAAATTCATTATAAGTTAATGATTACAGAGATCCTTTGTCCCACATGCGGGAAATTATTTAAATGTCCTCTGAATTACAACGTTGATCTGCATATAAACTTGTTGCAAGAAATGAACAACGGTCGATGAGTGATTGTTGATGGTGGCGGTTGGCTGTGGTCGGAGGTGATTGACGACGGTCGGTGGTGGTCGACGGCGATGGGAGTGATGCTGGACTTAATCTCCTTCTTAAAACTTCAAGCTCATCCTCAATCCACAAGCTCTCATCGCTCTCATGAGAGATGTAAGACTCTATTTATAGAGTTATGGGTGGAATTAATGCAGGATTTTGAACCGTTTTAATTGGACGACTCGAAGTGCTTTCTTTGATCAACCATCATTTGATGAACATTTGATTATTTTAATGATGTCAGAATTGAACGATCTTGGGCTCGTTGGATTCGTCTTATCGAGATGCTCGATTTGACTATAAACTTGCTAGATTTGACATCCCTTTAACCTTTCAAATGTGTCTGGAAAACTTCCAAACGCTCTTTAATATCTTGATCGGTGCTTTATTTGGTTCTAATTTGACCAATTTTAGTACCATTTGGTCTGTCTCGCCGAGTCGTTCAGTTTGACCATAAACTTGTTGAAATCACTGTTCTAGTTGACTTTTAATTGAAGCTTCAATATTTATTGCTCAAAAGATTATCTCGAGAGACACGTCATGTCTTAAGATAGCGTCGGATGATGAAAATTTGTTGATGTCGTACTGAGACTTTTTATATGCTTGTTTTTTATTCTCTTTTCTCTTTTTTTTCTATAAGAGTATTTTCTTTGTGGAGACTATTTATATGCTTCTTTTTTATGTTTGGGAGATTTTTTTTAGTATTTTGGATATTATAATCTTTATTTTTATCCTAAGGAGTATTGTGTTCTCTTTCCTTTGCAAGTGTTGTCTCTGTAGCTTGTGCATGAACTGGTGGTGAACAACCACGTCCTCTGTACCACACAAAATTGTCACCCGCCACGTTGTTTTCCGCTGGGACAAGTGTAGATTTTGTCTCCTAACCCTTTCAAATTTCGTCGACCTCCCATATT